GTCTTACTAATGTGTGTGTTAAAACAGAGAAAGAGGACCCAGCCTCACCTAAGGGAGTCGATTCCCTGAAGGAAGGGAAGCCACAGGAGAAACTGAGGAAAGGCTCTAGTCTGATTGGAATTCAGTTAGTTTGGAATTAAAAAATAAGTTTATTTAAGTAAGTAAACAAAAAGACTAGACTATGGACAACCAGTGTTTCAATTGTTCCCAAGTCACTCAAAAGATCTCTATACATCCAGACATTTAAGTTGGGTTACAAAGAACTTAAAGCTACATTTTACAGTTGAAATAATAAAGTCCCACTTTGATCCCAGACATTTCTACTACCCTTCCCCCCACGTTGTGAATCTCAGACCCGGCATTTCCACCGTGCAGGGGCCTCAGCAACACCCACTCGCCCACTCCTGACAAACCATAGCTCCTAGATAGCCACTCCCTACAATGATTTGTTGGTCCACAACACACCAAGCAGGCTAGTTTGTAGGCAGAGATTTGGACTTTACAGGGCTCGGCAAGTAGAAATCTTGGCCTCAAGGTACAGTGTTTGTAAGTGGAGCACAAGATGAGGGCAGTGTTTCACGTGTCCTACTTGTTCCACGGTGATGGGTTGTACCCGTGTGAAACGTAGCGTGGCCCCTGCCTAATATGGCGCCAGGCCCTGGAGTCCCTTCAATACTTCCGCATTCTTCTTCCAAACCCAGAATTCAACTTGCGGCATGCCAGCATTCCCCCAATCAGCTATCAATACGTCATTCTGCCCGCCCCTTCAAACTCCACCCCCTATCAAACCTAATAAAAGCCCACAGCTTCTTTGTCTGCCTCAGAGGGATATTGAAGTCTTCTGCCCTACTTCTTGGCCTGCCCTGAAGGCTTTTTTTCCTTTTCTGCCTTTGTTTCTCTACGCCACCAAGAAAAACTCATCACGTGGAAAGTTAGAAGCTGGTGGAATTAACCCAGTGGCTTACTTCAACTCACGCAAGTGCTTGACACTGTACATCAAAACATTTGATCAGAGTTAGGATTTTATATTTTAAAGGCAGGACCCGGTTGAAGTCTTCGCGACCACTATGAGGGACAGATTGCCTGGTTTACAAATTTGTTTCCGCCATGCCTTGGTTAAGGTATAAACCAAGAGCCCACTGTTCACAGGTACCTATACCATAAATTCAAAGCTTATCATTGTGATTAATAATGTACATAATCTTGCCCGGGTTATGGTGCATTACAAAATGAATGATCCTGATCTTGTAGAATACTTTCTCCCCCATAGATGCAAGTGGGGGGGGTACTTAACAACCGAAGTGGGATTCGCTGGAGCTGGTAATGTTGAAGGCTGTATCATAAAGGAGCCATTGATTTTCTAGAGTGGATTCTTGGGGTGGGGGGCATAGAAGGCTTTTATCAAGGGGATTTTAGTGCTTATGTGCTAGGTCTGATATTCCTAGAATTCTCAGCTTCTTAGTGGCCTCTAAATGTTTAAATACTTAAATTCAACCATTTATCACTCTTCAGGGACCTCTGTAGAAATTATTTACCTTTATCAGAATTCACTTCTAAAATACTGGCAAAAAGAGTAGTCTATTTAAAAGTATTACCACAAATGCAATTCTTGAAGACAAATCTCCAACTTTTAAGAAAAAAGTGCCACCTGCAAGCTGTAAATAAGTACATTAATTTTTCCCCACGGTATTTGCTTTGGCTGTGACCTATCCTAATATTTCGTTGAACAAGGGCTAAAAATTGTCAAACCGAATTCTTGTTTGAGAGCTGAATTCTGCTGCCAGTTTGAGAGAAACACACATCCAGGTTTAGGGAATATGTTTTGTTTGTTTTGGCTGTGACATAGGGCAGAACAGTTTCCATCCCATTCGAATGCATTCAAGAGAGTTTGAAATATTGCACAATAAAAGTCATTCATTATATCTGTCTCCTTTCCCTTCCAAAAACAAAAATGGCTGCCCGGTTCCAAATCTACACAGGGGGCAGGAAGAAGGGAGGCAGAGGGTCACTGGAAATCACCCAAGACTAACACCAGGTTTTTCAGGTTGGAGTTAGGGAATATGTGTTTCTGAAATCTTCATTCCCAATTTATGTATAAAACAAGAAAAGACAAGTATGGTTGCCTTGGATCATGGCTTTGTTATGAACAATTAGAACTGGACACATTGTATTTTTTCAGTTAGGTATAAAAATCGCATATTTTATGTGGAACCTGGCATCTGAGAACAACTTACTTGAACTAAGAAATTTTTACTCATTTTCTATATAAACTTTCAACTGTCTGACATCAGTTTTGTACTGAAAATAATATTCCACTCTTCAAAGCAGACATTTGGAAGATCTATTTTTGCAAATGCCTGATGCTACTTAGGAGTTATTTCATGTGCCTAAACTGATAAACTAGCATTTATTTCATTTACCAACAAGAACCCTAGATATCAGAATAGTGGAAATGTAGTTTGAATTTAAATGGCAAAAACCGAAGTGCTACTATCAAATCAGTAAGATTATGAAACATTATCAAAGTGAAACTTTTTTAAAGAATTTTTTAAAAGTAAATTTTAAGTGTGTGAATATGGACATAAAAATAAAATGTTAGAAGTGGTAAGCAGATATAATAGTTGGCTTTAAATTAAAGAGCTTGGGCCAGAGGCTTAGCTCAGTGGCCTAAGTGCCTACCTAGCAAGTTCAAGGTTGTGACTTCAATCCCTGAACCAAAAATAAAAAATAAAGAGCTTAAAATTCACACACACTTATGAATTTGGAACTTCAAAACGTCTACATAATTTGAGTGTTCTATCACATCTAGGTCCAAAATGCCAGCTGTTTGCACTCCTGGAAACCACTTTTATCACAACCCATAAACTGTTTAGTTGGGTTCTGTGCTTTCAACAAATGAGAAAATTATCTGACTATTGAAATTCCAACCATCACTTACAAAATTCTGACTTGGACTTTTCTTTACTGTACACTCATTTAGTTTCTATTTTCATGTGAATAATGCTTAAAGTATCAAAAAGTAGAAGCTGGTCCAAAAAAATTTGAATCCTAATTTCCTAAAAATTTCCAAAATCTTTTCTAATAAATCTTCCAGGTCATAACCAGATTAAGTATGATCTTGGTTGAAGATGTGTAATAAAAATACATGTCCACTGAATGGCAGTACTCATTTCTTATTTAAGGTATTATTTGTAGTCTTTGTCAGTTTCATTTAAAAACACAAAAGCATCCAAGAATATACAGAGATGAACACATCCATGTAATTAGACAACTTGAAATTGTTAGGCTACAGTGTATTAGCAATTAGTACACTGCAAAGCCAAATCAAAGCTATGTAATAAATTTAAGACAAAATCTTATTTTTTGTTACGCAGTTATTGTAACATAACACCAATTCCACTCACTTGATCTAAGATTTCAAACCTAGAGTCCAAGCTTCAGACATACTATAAAGAGACCTACAAGAAACAGAAATGCATAAGCATTTGAGACATTTATTTGAAATGTTATGTACCATTCACAACCTATAGTCTAGTTTCTAACTTAAGCTTATCCTTAATGGAAAAAAAATTTAAAACACATAGGATGAAGCCAGCCTACATCTACAGCCTCATCTCAGTGAGTGGTACCAAAAGGGCATTTGAAACAGCTCTTATACCTTGGATTCTACTCCTCCAAAACTCCTACCAGTGAACTTGTTCAAGTGTCACCTCTTAGTAAAAAAAGGAACCTTGCCTGATCTGAAGCTGATGCCACCTGAAATGATGACAATTCCTGGTGTCCCTTTATAAACATGCCCTGTATTCTGATGATGGTGACTGGCACTTAGAAGTGAATGCTTGGTACCAGGCAGTTAAGTATATGCCTGGCAAACGTAGTCATAAAGCCATACTTTGCCTATCTGAGGTGAATTCTCAAATGCTAAGGGTTCTGAGCATGGACTGGCAATGTCTTACACTAAACCAAACCATAATTTAGAAAATCTTTAATTTGTGAACTGGGTATACATTTTTAGCAAACTTAATTTGATTCTTAATGTATCGCAAATTTCTTATAGCAGTTTAGAGTACAGAGTTGAAAACAGAAAAAGACTTCCCAGCAAACAAATGCTACAGAGCCACAGAGTCACAATTCTGTATCACTGACTGTAGTAAACCAGTGTGTGGCAGATAGGACAGAGCATACGAGCACCCCGGGGAAGCTGCTTTCCTTGCTGTATCTCTGAGAGCTTTTCAGTACTGACTTGGCTTCTCCACCCCAGAAGGTAGTTTAGGTCTGGGTTTAATTGACAGATTTGGTTAGTTAGTTTTTGCACTCCACCCTCCCGGCCCCGTAATACCTTCCCAAGAATTTTAATCATAAACTATGATACAAATTCAGAGTAAAAGTTTAAAAACTTTAAAATGATGTGATACTAAGAATGGACATAAATGCCAACATAATTTAATGAAGAATTTTTACGCTTTTTAACAGGGTGCTGAGTAATTTCCATTAAGAACAAAAACTCCGCCCCATCTTACATGACACACAAAAACTAACATAAATCAAAATCACAATGAAACACTACCACACATGTCACAGGATGGCTAAAATGAAAGCAGACCAACACCACCACGTTCCTGGTGAAACACAAAGCAAACAATGTGTGCATGGCAGGAACACAAAGTGGTGTAGCCATTGTAGTAAAGACTGGTAGGTATTTTTTCCTTTTCTTTCCCACTTTTCTTACTTCCTGAGATTCTTGAACCCAGGGTTTTCACAATGACCCATTCAAAATTTTTAATCTAAGGCAGGATCTCACTGACTCTCTAAACAGCCCATACTGGACTTGAACTTTCTATTCTCCTGCCTCAGCCTCCCAGAGTACTGAGGTCACAGGTATGTGCCAAAGCAGCGGGCCTGCAGTTTCTTAAAAAAGTAAACATACCAGTTACATGCCCTAGGTACCCATCTCTATTTATCCAAGATAAAACATCTGTAAACAAATGAAAAACCGTATGTGAACATTTATAGCAGCTTTATTTGCAATAGCCAAAACAGATATAAACAAATCCCAATATCCAGAGTGATGAATGGATAAATAGTGGTACATCTAAAAGTGAACTACTACCCATTAATAAACAGGTATCATCTACTTACAACATGCAACATGAAAGAATCCCAAAAGCATTAAAAAACAAAAGCTTAAAAAACCAGACACAAAAGGATACATACTGCATAATCCCATTTCTGTAACATTCTGGAAAAAGCAGAACTGTAACAACAGAAACCAGATCAGCAGCTGTGAAGGGCCGGACTTGGGAGAGGGGTTGACTGGCCTGGTGGGAACAGTCTATTCCTTGACTACCATCATAGTTTCATTACTGCGTAAATTTGCTAAAATTCAAACTGTATGCTTAAAGGGTATATTCTACTGTAAGTTATTTTACACCAAAACATTTGACTTTAAAAATAGCTCTTTCCATCTAAAGCATGAATCAGGCACTATCAATCATTCTCTCCTTGTTCTGCCAGCTCCACGCCTCGCACTCAGTTCTGGAGCTCCAGGGAAAGTGAGGAAAGAGACAGCTTTAAGCAAAGCAGCAAGAGGAGGAAGTGAAGGAAACTGCAAAGTTTGGAGAACCTGATATCCATTTTAATTACAAAGTTCTCTTTCTGAGACCTTTTCACATGAGTCCAATGTGGCCTAATTTTCAGGAACAAAGGCTGGAGCCAATTCACATCCAGTACTAAGGAGATGGGTACCTAGATTACGGAAGTCCAAAGTACCCAATTCTGTACACAGCCAAAAAAGACTCAAAACGGCCCTTAGACCGTCCGTTCCGTGGAAGGATACTCGTGGTATCTCACAGAGTAAGCAAGCCAAGTTGCAGAATAGCACATGCGGTGATCCCGTGAGCACACGAAGAAAGCGTACTCGTGTGCAACAGGGAAGGAAGGAAAAATGCCTTGCGAGCAGGGTTCATGCACACAAACCCTTGGGGAAGTGAGCCTGCGCAGTGTGTGTGTGGTGGAGGGAAAAGTAGTGGTTAAGGTTTCCACTTTTTAATTCTGTATAGCTCTCTGCCCTTTTCAAAGGACATCTATTATTTCTGTAATAAAAATGAGTGAAAGTAAAGCGAGGCTCAGGAAACAGCCGTGGGAGCTGCCTGGCTTTCAGGACAGGCGTAGTGAAGGAAACTGCAGATGTCGTGCTGCCACCTACTGGAGCCCACCGGGAACTGCAGGAGGGGAGCGGTGGGCGGAAGCAGGAGACCGGCGAGGGGTCCAGGGTTGGGTACAGCAATAAAAAACGAAAGGCAGGGAAAAAGAGTATTTTGAAGCCAAACGTTTAACTATTAATGAAAACCGTGAAGAAGCTGCAAGTGATCACGATCAAATCCAGAAACGAGCTTTATAAATCTTTTAACATACATGAGACTTGATAGGAAAAACTTGTCTAAATTTTCACTTTTCAGACTTCTTTTTCAGGAAAACTATCCATTTGATACTTACAGATGCCAATCAGATATTTATAGTAAAACACCCTGAAACCAACAGGATTATAAAGTGTGTTCGTAGTTTTAACTGGGGGTGTCAGAAAATGAGAACAAGTTTACATTAGAAAAAACCACGCAAAAAAGCACAGGTCAGAATGGTTTCTTCATCTTCATTAGCACTTTTTGAGAAATAAACAAACAAACTGTGAAATATTTAAGTCAAATACAGCTTAGTGGATTTATTGTCATCGTTAAGGAGAAAGGGGTCCAAATAACAAGTTTTTACCTTTCATAGTAAACAAAGGAGAAATTTAAAAATTGTAGAACTTCACATCCTTTAAGACTTAGGTTTCTGAAGTTTTTCTTTTAAAACTATCAAAACTAAGTCTCCTAAGATAATTGGTTCTTTTCTTAAAAAAGTTTGTTTTCAGTGCTAATGATTTGGCCACCATACCAACTCTTAAATGAGGGGGAAAGTCCATAAATAATTTACATGGCAAGATAAAAGAAATTTTACACAATCCACCCTTGAGCAAAAGAAATTGGGGATCACTTTGAGTGTTAATGTAAAATACATCAGTCTTAGCAGCAGGAGTCCCAGACCCGCCGGTGCCGCGGAGGTAACAAATAGTCTCTACAAGGGGAAATGGGCCACTCGGCAGGGGCTCTCTTCCCTGTCGTGTTATTTATAGGCGCTCTATTTGTTACCATGTTTCTGCTATCCTGGCCAGGGAGAGCTTAATGATTTAAAGGATTTCAGAGACAATTATTTAATGATACGATGATTTATATGGGTTCGCAAATTCCAGGTAGACAGCAATTTTGGTTTTCAAGCTGCTGTCACTAAAACAGCCGTGGGAAATATTGCAAAAGCATGACGAGAGAAACTGGGACAAGTTGATGGTCCCCGGTAGCATTCGAGGAAAAGGTAAGAGCTGCTGGGAAACACTGTGGGAAAAGAAATCAGTGACCAACAACCACTGCTACTTGTTAGTAAACTGATTTTTCCAGTGCCCATTTTGCCTTTCAAAATTACTTCTATGGGAAATCATGAATTCAATCCCAAATCACCTGTGACTAATTTGGGAATCCAGTCTTTAAAAAGACTAAACTGCTCGACTTTCAACAAACACCTCTCTCCCACCTCCAATTCAACAAAACAGAACAAACCTGACACAACAGTGTTTTCACATTAATTATTCCAGTTATCCAAAGAATTTTCTGAAATTTCACATTTATTTTGACAATTAAAGCAAAACTTTCATTTGAGAACAACAGTCATGAAAGCTTCCTTGACATTTAACCCACACAAAATAAGCTTTGTAATTTTCATTTTTGTTAAAGAATTTTAACCATTTTTGCCCTGCTGTAAAGTAACACACACATATATCACATCATTTTAAGTGTTCAATTTATACTGTTTTCATTTTCATGAAGTTCCACTATTTCTATCAAATTATCTGCTGCAAAAGTAGTTTATTGAGATAGAACCAGCCAATTCTAAAGGCTATTTTTTACAGCAAAATCTTTACATTCAGGGCTAAATATGTAACTTACAGAGAACAAAAATTCAGAGACATGTTTTGAGTATAAAAACAACTTGAAGCAAAATACTAATAAAAGCATTTACCATTTTGGGGGAGAATGCATTTAAGAGAATGTCTGATTGTGGAATGATGAAGAAATCTACTTGTTTCTACTGAAAACCACAGCTGACTTTATTTGAAACTTGCGAGCAGGGCAGCTGAACTGAGGACGGAGGAGGGGAGACAGGAGGGGGCTGAGGTTACCTCCCGGCCCAAGGCTCCGGGGTGTCAGCACTGCTCTGCTTGCCGCCTGGACCAGACCCTGGTGAGCTCTGGGCTGCCTCCTCCTCCTCCTCCTCCTCCTTCTGGGGGAAGCCTCTCTGGGCCAGGGCTGGGGCCAGGGCTGGTCCAGCGCTGCTGCAGGCACTGGAGAGCGCGGAGGCACAGAAGCTCTTCCTCCTCTTACTGGGCAAACGAGAGGAGGCCGGGCCCTGGCTGCTGGCTTCCCCCTCGGTGCCTGTGCTCTGAGTGGAGCACCCGGTCTCTTTCCTAAGGGGCAGACTCTCCAATTCCCTGCTATCCAGCGAGCAGCTCGCTCTCCTCTTGGTCTTCTGGGAAGCCGGAGGAAGCGGCAGCGACAGCCACACCAGCCCCTGGGTTTCCGAATCTTTCTGCAGCCTCGTGCTCCGCCGCACCTTGGTGTCACTGCCGGCTCTCTGAAAGGCTTGCTCAATGGCGTCGGATAAATCTCTGTACAGTTCACAATTCCCGAGACTAACGCCTGCCGAGCCGCTCCCGCCGCAGGGAGGACTGCAGTGCCCATTCTGCTCTGAGCAGATGTTGTCATCAGCGTGGCACAGAGAGCGGCACCTTTGTTTCCTTTCTCTACGACCTGTCACGCTCCCGCTTTCCGCAAGCCGACTGTCCACGTCCTGGCTGTGGCTTGCAGATTCTTTTCTGTTTCTGGTGACGACATCTTCTAAACAGTCCGGTTCTTTCTTTGAACCACACACGGAATTACACTGTGGTTTTCCCTCTGTGCCCTCTAAGAAGTCGCTCTGTTCCTCCGACTTTAGGTCTGTATCTTCTGTGGCCTTCGAGACCTGGCAAAGCCCTTCCGCATTTGGACCAGCGACAGCGGCTTCCAGGCACTGCGAGGTAGAGCCAGGTCTCCCGTTATCTGACCCGTCGTGCTCTCTGGACGCAGCAGCACAGGAAGCAGGACTGCTTGCTGTCTCCATCTCGGCTGCGAGTTCGCTTTCGGACTGCCGCTCGATTTCCGCCTGTGGAATAGCTGTGCTGTCGCCGGTGTCCATGTTTGTGTCTGAATCTTCGTGACAGGAGGCCATGGGCAGTGACGAACGTGTCACATGTGAGCAGCAGAGTTTAGAGGCATCGGTTCCATTGAGGCCTTGCTGCGAATGCAGATCCGCGTTCCAAAGCAAGGGATTCCTTTTTGGGATTTTAAGCAAATCCGCTTCTCCCCATTTGCCAGTTGAGCTGAAATCATCTATGGGCATGTAAATAAATTTAAGTGTCATTAAAAAGTAACCATGGAAACAATCTTAAGTTTGCTAAACAAACAGGTATTCTGCATGTAATTGTGTCCTATCGTATGGGGTTTTAAGCTTTCAAACATTGCAAGCCTGCAAGTGTTACATGTGCTTGTCCCTATCGTGGTCCTCTTCCTCCCTTAGCTCTTCCCCAGGGCCTCAGGTTAGGAAGACAGGCACTTGACACACAGCCTGACACAGCACACAGACCACGGGCCTCACCCTGCTCCCGGTAGCCACACACTTCCCACGCGGTGGTATGGGCACGGGCTGCTAGCACGAGGCGGCCACCATTCCCATTCCCTGAAAATAAATTCCAAACACTGGGCAGCAGTGTGCTTCTCAAGCTGCTCTTCCAAGGTTTGCCTTGAAATTCGAAGAGAAAATCTGGGTGCCCTGAGCAAACAGGAGCTCCTTTCTAATCTCAGAGCCCTGCCTGCCACACTGTCCCAGCCTCCGCCTAGACTGCAGCCCCGGAAAGTGACACCACCTCACATGGGTTCTGGGCCCTGCACGGAAGGCGAGAAAGACCACTGGCAAGACTGGCAGGTGACGTGTCCTAAATGACCTTAGGACTTTTCATTCTCAGTAGTCTTTGAGGCTATCTCTCTGATTATCTCAGATAACACACAGTATTTTTAGGGGCTAGTCAAATGAGTTTATAAATTCTTTAAATTAAACCAAAGCAGAGCAAATGGAGCCAAAAGTCTAAAAAAACCAGTGTTTTAATCTGAAAATACATCTATGACTAGAATATTTAAAAATCATGTTTAGAGATTAACATAAGTTACAGGCCACTTGAAACCAACCAATGAATATGTCAGCTGGCTCTTTATGGCTTAAAAGACTGATGTTAATACATTTTTCATAAAATCCGATATACTAGAAAAAGGTAGTGGAAGGCAGCCAGGGAGAAAGAAGGTAAGGAAGTAAGAAAATGGAGAAGGCAGGCAGGTAGGCAGGCTGGCCAAAGTGGTACATTCCTGTAATTGTAGGACTCTTGGAGGCTGAGGCAGGAGGAGACTGAAAGTTCAAGCCCAGCGTAGACAATTTGGTGACTTAACAAGACCCTGTCTCAAAATAAAATATTTAAAAATGGGGGTGGGAGTCTGCTAGGGTTGAAGATCCTATGCTGTTTAAGGAAAAAAAAAAAATCCTACGTTGTTTTAGAATGACCCAGTCTTCATCAGATTCTGAAGAGTTCAGGCTACCTAAAAGTTACAGACTATCTATAGCATCCTTGACTTACACTTTTTATAATTAAGAAGCACTGCTACTCTTATTTATGCACTCACAGAGTCAATGCAACAAGGGAAGAAAGAATTAAAGAACAACAAAGAGGGCGAAGCAAAGAGAGAAGATGTGACCGAGAGCACGAGATACCTGCATGCAGTCTTCTGATGCCTGCGAACGGCACCTCCGAGACCTCGGGAAGCTCAGGAATAGGACTCAGGAGGGGCTTCTTAGACGCAATTTCTCTTTCTCCATACAAACGTTTCTCAACACTTTTCTTTCCCTTTCTTTTCTTCTTTTTGCCACCTTTACAAACCTGAGAAGATGGATTAAAACTCTGAGAAAGAGCTAAGATCATGTACAAGGTTGAAACTTTAACTTCTGGTTAATTTCTGGTTAACTTTAGGCTAGTGATTAACTTTATACAGTGACTACTGTATAAACTTTAGATAATTTTGCCAGGAAATATTACAATCAGTTATTCTCTTTAAAATAGTGGGCATTTGAGCCACTGGTGAGTACAGTAACACAGAAGCCAGAGGAAAAATGAAGTAAAACTCAACTTATAAACTGCACAGTAGCTCTATTTCCACAAAGCATTTGCCAAGGTAAGTGTTAGACAAATAAAAAAATTGGATTAAATGCTATACAGCTGGACAAACCTATGAGATATCTATGCCAAGGCTGTATCATGATGACCCAAGACTAACCCGGTGTGAGTTACCTACTGAAATGCTCCAGGAGGCTTTTTTTGCTAACTAAAGTAGGTGAAGCAAAAATACACATGTATGTCAAACACAAGGTAACACAAAGCTGGCTCAACTGATTCATACAGCAGATGAACTGAGCCAGATTAAACGAACGGGTCAAAATAAGATAGATGGGTTCTAATAGGCACAAAGAGAGCAAGGGGCGGGGGGGGGGGGGTCAAAGGCTTACCAAAAACTGATCTTTTTGTTTTCCAAAAAAACTGCTTTAGTAATTTTCAGAATGCAGTATTAGATTCAACTCTGAGTGCCCTACCAGCCACTGAGCAATAATGTCCTATGCTAATTTAAAAATGAAAAGTTTCACATGGAAAACACTTCGGGGAAACTCAAATACTGTGCTGGGATACCAGAAAGACTTACGAACAAAAGGAATGAAATATATTCAGTGTGGTAATGTTGGAGGGAACCAGACTTTAGGCCAACATAAAACCCGCTTGTAAAAATATTTTCAGAAAGTAAAACTCATTCAAATATTTCTGAAGAAACTGCTATGTGCCAGGTAATGACAGGGTAGGTGTGGGATCAAAAACCACACAGGGTATGGTCTTGGAGGAGCTCCTGCTGGAGGTAAATAGTTTCAGTACTCCTAACACTCTGTGGACGGAGGAGATGGGTTATCTGGCCGGCAGCAGTGTTTAGGATGGGATCCACAGAAACATGTCCAGGCAGAATCTCAATCACCTGAGAGCTGTTCTAGCTGAGGGGGCTTAGCAGAGGGGCCTCTCAGAGAGAAGGGACGCAGAAGCTCAAAACTAGGCAACACAGAGGAAACTACGCCTAGCCGTGGATGGCCAGGATGTCCACCTGGGAGCGGCTGGAGCCAAGCCTGCAGGAGGGCCTTGGCAGCAGTGACTGAAGTGAAAGCAAGCCCCCGGCACAGCGCTTTGGGTGTGAACAGCTCCCAGTACACACGAGGAAAGATCATCTGGGTGACGGCACACGAGATTTAGGAGAAACTAACACTGTGAAACAGAGGATGAGATTCAAGGGTACAGACATGGCACAGAACGGTGTGTTCCTTGAGATATTTATAGGTATCTTATAAAAACAAAACCCCACATTCCATGCAAAAATAATTTTAAACTGCTACAAGATGAATGTTCCTCTTGGTGATAGGCGATACAAATTTAACATAAAATTCTAAGAAGTTCTCAGTATAAATAATATCTACACACATAATTTTCCACTAAACAGTTTCTCATGGAACAGATGCCGATGCTCCGTGGAAAAGCTGGGGAAAGGCTGGTTTGGTCAGTGGATGTGAAAGCCAATAGCCAACTTACAGTACAGTTCACAGATGAGCCACAAAGAGAAACACGTGGCCTCCAGATACCTTGGGTTCAAATCCTGACTCTGCTACTGAACTGCTTCACAACCTGAGCTGTACTCCTCTCTCATCCAACTTCATTTGTGACCAAGGTGGGAAGAATCACGTTTGTGAACCGAGGTACCACCGTACAGCACTCAAGTTTCCAGGTTTGAAAAACTCTTTAGTATCTTGAACAATTATTTCTAAGATGGCAATATGTAATCCATTAACTAATGATTTCCTACTGTTCATTTTTTTCTTCTGTAAGTCTGTATAACTTGTACCCTTTCACTGTTTTTTTTTCTTTTCTCCTTAAATAAAAAAAAAATTAATATCAACACAATGAAATGACATTTATTTCAACCAATTTAAGAGTTTTAGGGAAATGTATACTGCTTTTTGCTATTTATATTGACACAATTTTCAAAAAAAATAATTAGGAGTCAGCTATCCAAAACTTTAACAAATTGATATAGGCGATTCTTTTTAAGATAGCAAGAGGCATTATGGTAACTATTGTTGATCACCTTGTATTCTGTTTTTACATTATGGACTATGCACACCCTTTTGATTTGACTGACTCTGTTTTGTTATGTCACATTTAGTTTTATTCTCTTCAAAAAGAAAAGTAATAAGAACTGTGGGAGTAATAAAACCCAAAATGTGTAATTGTCATTGTAAAAAAAGAGAGGAAAAGAAAATGCTCTAAAGGATATAACTGCATGTGTATTTAAGTGTATAAGATAGATAACCATATTACTGAGTTTTTGTTGGATCATTGAACCAAACTGTTTGCAGTTTATTGTTTGAATGTCCATTTTATATGCTTTAATTTTGTAACTTGAACAACTATTTCTAAGATGACAATATGTAATCTATAACTAGTGATTTCCTACTGTTTATTTTTTTTGAAATTCTGTATTACTTGTACTCTTTTTCTGTTTTTTTTTTTTCTTTTTCTCCTTAAATAAAATTTTTTTAAAAACTTAAAAAAAAAAAAAAAAGAAAAACTCTTTAGTGAAGTTGAGCTATCAGCTGACACCGAAAATGTTTCATTCTGCTTCCAATTTTTAGGGACAGTACTTTTTCCTAATTTTAATTTTGTTTCAAAGTAAAACATTTACATGGCTAAAGTCAACTAAAAAAAAGCCCTGCACATGTAAGGAAGTCTAGTTTTCATTCATACTGGTCTCTGTCCCTTCTCCCTAGAACCAGTGTTTACTTGGCTTGGGCTTTACTTCCCTTCAGTATTTTGCACGTGTCTACACAGTAAATTATTCTCTGACGTTCTCTGCTTTCTTAGGTAAGTGATAGTGTACAGTTTCACAGAAATGTACTTTCTCACAACCGTGTAGGCTACGCGGCTAAGATCGATGTGCCCGCCCAGCCTACCTTGGGGCCGCTCTCTCGGGCTTGCACAAAGCCTGCTCGCTGTGTCCTCAGTCTGTTCCCCGTGTACCCGCACAGCCAGGGGCCCTCTGTGTCCAACTGCCTCTTCTCATATGGGCACCAGTCAGATTTGGTTACCACCAAGGACCTCATTTTAACTCAATCAACTTTTAGGACCAAATTTCCTGTTTGGACGTTTTTAAGTACAAGAGTTGGGACTTCAAACATAAAACTGGGGCGGGAGGATGCAGTTCAACTGATAACTGGTAGCTTACTATATACATTCTTTCATAACTTGCTTTCCTTGCTTAATGGTAAGTATACTCTGGCATCATTCCACAGCAGCATATGGAAGTTTTCTTCACAACTGGCTATAGCTGCATAACACTTAATTTGTGGACACACTACAGTTCATTCAAAAACTCACTTTTTATTTGCTTTTTAAAAACCCGTATCTCATTCTGTAGTCCAGTGTAGACTTGAGCTGTTTATTTCAAGCTGGCCCCAAACTCATGGCAATCCACATGCTTCACCATCCCGAGAGTGGGATTACAGGTGTGTACCACCAGGGCCTGCTAACAAGTCACATATGATGCTCATTTTTTAAAAAAATCTTTTGCTTCTAGGCACGGCAACACATGCTTGTAATCCCAGCACTTGGGAGGGTAATGCAGAAGGATTGCCGTGAGTTGGGGCCAGCCTGGGCTACAATAACAAGACCCTGTCTCAAAAAAAAAATGTTTTGCTTTACAAAGTGTCATAATAACTAACACTCTACACATAATTCCTGCACTTTTGTCAGTGCATCTTTGAGACAGATTCCTAGAAACAGAAATGCAGGACCACAGGGTACCTGAGTACTACATTTGGCTGGACCCTGCCAAGTTCTCCTGTGTAGAGATCTGCATTACCAGAAGATGTTTGGGTGTGTCCAACCTAAGGCGTCACCCACAGAGTACGCTGCTAGCTTCTAGTTTTGCTAACCTAAAAGGAGAGAAGGATTATCTCCACGTACATTAGAACTGCAGTTCTCTTACTACAATGAGTACTAACTTTTTTTTATGTTTAAGGCTCATTTTCATTTCAGTGTCATAAACTTTTTTATATTTCTTGAACATTTTTCTATGGCTATTATTTTCTCAATAATTTAGAAACCCTTAAAAGATTACAGAAATTAAAAATGCTTACGTCTTTTTTGACCCCACGTGGGTTCCATGTCGTTTGGTTGAAAATTTGCCCCCGGTTAATCTACGTTTTGAGTACCGTTTTGGAAACTTTCTCCATTGCAGGTTCCAAAGGAACTCACTTGAGCATTGTAAGATTACTTCTAATTAAATAATTTAGAGATCCGCTGATTCCCTGTCATGAAAGATAAAGCTGGTTTTCTCAAGCTAAATCTTCTTTCCTATGATAGTGTTGACTCTTGTATTGGTTAAATTTGAGCTTCTATTTCCATTTCTTTTTGCCAATTTTAAAATGTATCTCTTAGATTTCAAATTTTAAGATGGACATACACGCATTCATCAATATTCACAGCAACCTTCTAAAATAAGTACCATTACTACCACAAGCAAGCTGGGGAGTTAAGAATCTTGCCTAACTTTCCATTGGTAGAGAGCAGCGAAGTGAGGATTTAGAAGATGTGACCTGGTTCCAGAGCCTGCACTTACTAAACTATTAACGTTAAAGCCCTGGCTTCTTCTACCTTTTTCTTTCATTATATTTGATTGCTAACATTTATATTGTCCTTCATGACATCCAAGGTATTAAAACTTTCTCCTTAGGTGAAAGGTGTCTACACCATGGCTGTAGGAACATTTCCCACTGCCCTGCCCAGTACAAAGCTCA